CGCAGTGGTGGGCAGAAAGGGGCTGGGATGCTTGGTGTGACAGGGTGGTGGCTCAGGGCTGTCTGACTGTGGGGTCTCAGTAGCGAGTGAGCCCAGAGCAGCCTGCCCAGCTGGGATGCTGGGGATGCTACTGTAGAGTCAGAGTTGGGGGTGACCCCCGTGGCCACAGCATTTTCTGCCTTCACCCACCCATCTTCCTGCTGTGCTGCATCATGTGCAGCCATCCCCTAACCTCCCAGCTCTGTGTATCCCCATGCATCTTGTGATGAACCTTGGTGACTGGTCCAACCCCTCTTGCTCACTTGCCACGAGGGACCTGACTCACCCCTGGCTCCACTGCCAAGCTCAGAGCTGCGGAAATGTCATAGAATCATAGAATCACTTTGGTTGGAAAAGACCTTTAAGATCATCGAGTCCAACCTTTAACCTAACCCTGCCATCCCACCACTAAACCATGTCCCCCATGCTGCGCCCCTGCCCACCTCCTCAGCCCCTGGCCCTGCCTCCCATGGTGGCTTGTCCCTACTGGTCCCTCTGACTGTAATCTGTGGTGGTGCTGCACATGTTCCTGTGGTCTGTCCATCCCCGTGACTGTGGTCTATCCATCCGCATGGTGGTGGTCCACATGTCCCTGGGATTGTGGCCCATATGTCACGGTGATGCTGGTCCGTGTGTCGTTGTTCCTGTAGCCTGTGCATCCCCATGCCAGTGGTCTCTCCATCCCCACAGGGGTGGTTTGCGCCACCCTGGGACCTGTGTGTCCCCAGGACCACAGTCCATACGAACCTGTGGTGGTGGTTCCTGCATCCCCATTATCAGCCTGTGCATCCCTGTATGTGCAGGTGCTGTCCCCACGAGGGTGGTCCGTCTGTCCCCAGGACCAAGCCCCTGTGTCCCTGTGCCACCAGGTGTCGCTGGCAACTCGCTGCTGGCGGCTGCATGCCTGGAGCAGCCCCATCCCCACAAGCCTGAGCCTTGGGCTGGGCCACCCTGGGGTGGTCCCCATGCCAGAGCCTGAATTTGGGATGGGTCAGGGACCCCTGCAGCTCCTGCTGGGCTGAATGGGGTGGGTGGGCTGCCCGTGGAGCCGGCTGAGTGCTCCGTCTGCCCCCAGGCATCGTGTTCCCCTACCAGCCTCCCAACGGGCAGTACAGCCTCAACTTCCATGAAGCCGAGCAAGTGTGCCAGGAGCAGGGTGCCATCCTCGCCACCTTCAACCAGCTCTTCCAGTCCTGGACCGAGGGGCTGGAATGGTGCAGCGCGGGCTGGCTGGCCGACGGCACCG